TCTCTGACTGGTGGCAACACCGGTTGTCTCAGAGGCTGCAGTGGTGGCAATCCAGTCACCCACGTGATCCTGAAGTCCCGGCAGGGATGGCTCAGCACCAGTGGACTCACTGGCACAAGGCACCAAGCCTGGAACCCGGCCCATAGCGACAGTCGTCTCCTTAGCCCAACAGCTGTTCAAAAGATACAAAACTCGGGAAGAGTTAAGGGCAGAATCATTCAAGGTATAATTAGCCACAGACAGCCGCATGAGAAGTCCTATTTTGGCTCTGGTTTTCCATCTTGTTTTCTATGAAACAAGGTAGAATCCGGCACAGCCAAGGGTCCAAAATCTAAACAGGCACAAAGTCCACAGAGATACCATCCCGTAAAGGTAGACACTCCACCCCACTGGGCTGGATTCCGGAAACAAACTCCTGAGCATCCTTGTTAACATTCTTGTAAAGTGATCACAGTCCCCATCGTCATAATGAATAATGTGCTCTGGCCATAAATCATAGTACCGGGCCAACATTTAACACAAGGAGAAGAAAAATTCAACAGAAATAAAATACAAACTGCATCTCCAATCAATGAGAATGGCTGGCTGTTCCTTAGTCCAATCAATGGAAAGGATTATCCAGACCCCCGGCATCAGCACCAGTAGATTCCTGACGGGGGCCCATCATACCTGTTGGCCATGGCTGATGGTCAGGAGAACCGTCCATAGGACGCACAAGCCATTCAGGAATCCAAATGGGGCATTCAGTATCCTACGGAAACACACATACACTTCCACGTCCCCAAGTGAGGACTGGATCAGGCCCCTTCCATGCTCCAGTGAACACATCCTTCCACTGTACCATTGGATGAGTAGAGCCGCGGGACTGCCCAGTGCCACTGAGCAACGGATGAGTGTGTGATTCAAATGCTAGAAAATTTAATGTATAGAGAACATTAGAAAGGATATCCCGGGGAGTACTATACTCCCCCTTTTTTTGTTTTATGAATATAGTCTTTGAGAGTTCAGTGAGTCCAGTCCACTAGAACTTGTCCCTGGGGATTGTAAGGAATCCCTGTCTTATGAAGGATGTCATAATTGCCACAGAATAATTGAAAGCCTTACTGATAAAAGCTGGTTCATTGTCCATTATAATCAATTTTGGGGCCCCCATGTTGGCAAAATCTTGGAGGCTTTTTACATCCTTCACCTTTTTTTCCTGAGTGGGCGGAGGGAGGCAAAGAGCATGCCTGAATAAGTATCCACAGAAACACGTACAAATCCCAGTTTGCCAAAGGATGTCACGTGAGTAACGTCCATCTGCCAGATATGATTGGGCAAAAGACCCTGAGGATTAACTCCCAGATGAGGGGCAGGAGCAAATTCTGCACACAAAGGACATGCTTTTACAATCTTAAGAGCTTGTTCCTTAGAAATTTTATACGTGAGCCTCAAAGAAGTAACATTAAAATGGAATTTCTCATAAGCCCACTGGGCAGAGACCAAGGAATCCTGGGGCACAGAGATTAAGAGATTGGTCATCTGATCAACCTGTGCATTGCCTTCACTAAAAGGGCCAGGTAAGCCAGAATGTGCCCGAAGGTGGCCAATATAAATCTTATGAGATCTTTTCCATAAAAGTAATTGAATGTTAGAATGTTAGTCAACAATTCATGATCTGCAGAGATAGTGGCTATATTTCCTGGTATTTCCGGGAGGGGGGGAAGAACCTTAGCAACATATGTGTTATCAGTAAAAAGATTAATAGGTTCAGCTGGAAAGGTAACTAAAGCTAAATGAATGGCAGCCAATTCTGCTATTTGTGTGGATTTTTAGGGTACTTTTATTTGAACAGTCTTCTGGACTGTGACTACAGCAGCCACGCCATTAGAGGATCCATCTGTAAATACATTAAGGGTGCAATCTAGTGGAGCTCGCAAAATAATTTTAGGAAAGCAAACCAGATGTTCCTTAAAAAATTTTACTAATTTATTAGGGGAGTCAAATTCGGCAGACTGAGTGGTTAAAATGATGGACCATTCTGAGCTAAATAACTGGATCCGGTTAAGCTGTCCCTTATTGTACGGAACAATCACTTTATCTGGGATTTTGCCAAATGCCCTAAGACTTTCCAGGTAGGCCATGTGCAACACCTCCAGGACAGCCACATGATAGGGCTGCACAATCTATTTGGGAGAGGCTCATCCGTGCACCCAGGGAATAGGTCCCTCCTGCCAAAAGACTGCAGTGGGCTGCAAGGCTATGCAGAAGACCAGCAGAAGCAAAGGCTGGCGATAATCAATATAATTCAGATGGGCTTCTAACCACTGTTGACTAATCTAAGACATTCACGGCCTTCAGGTGTCAGTAGCCTGGGAGACGTGGGGTTTGAGTCATCTCTTAAGATTTAAAATAAGGGTTTTAATTCTCCTGTTGTCAATCCCATTGATGGTCTAATCCAATTACTGTTTCCCAAAAGCTGTTGAAAATCATTAAGAGTGCGGAGCTGATCTATTCTAAGAGTGATCTTTTGTGGTTGAACTCCAGTCTGTAGGAGCTGATGGCCCAAATACTGAAAAGGGAACACAGTCGGGGGCAACAACTAAACCAGTCCATTGCATTCCCTCATAAAGTGTCTGCAACCCTGCATGCGAATCATATTCCTTTGAGGCTGCAATAAGAATATCATCCATATAATGAATGACATATAGCTGGGGATGTTGCTCCCTTAGGGGCCATAAAGCTCTGGAGACATAATTGGCACAAACTTGGACTATTGGCCATGCCCTGGGGCAACATAACCCATTGCTTTGGGGCAGCTCTCTGAAATTAATAGAGGGAACACTGAAAGCAAATTTGGGTGAATCCTCAGGATGCAAATGCATAGTAAAAAGGTAGTCCTTGAGGTCAGTCACCACCATGTGATAAACCTTAGGGAAAGCACAGGTCTTGGCAATCCTGGCTGCAATGATCCCATAATTTCCATACATTTGTTAGCTTGCCTAAGGTCCTGCAATAGTCGCCAACTGCCAGATTTCTTTTTTATAACAAATATGGGGATATTCCAGGGGGAAGGGGATGGAACTATATGCCCGACAGCTAACTGTTCTTGCACAAGCCACTGAGCAGCCAGTAACTTTTCTTCTCATAGGGGCCACTGTTCCACTCATACCGGCCTAGTTTCTCTCCATTTGATGGGAATTGCAACTTGTGGTTCAACAGTGGCCCTCAGAATAAATTTTCCAACCTGTTCTGTTCCCACCATGCCCCCATAGTCAACCCTTTATCGGCAACAGCCTGTGGATCCCCCAAGGATCTCTGCCCAGCCCCCACCTGGGGTTAAAACCCTGGTCTGCTAACATGCTGCACAGGTTCAGTGGTCAGAACTGCCCCCATAGCTTGCAAATCCTAACTGGCGTGTGCCACCATAACTGGCAGGGGCAGCAGGCAGGCTTGGGAACCTTCAGCGTTAGCTACTGCGTGAGTTCGGGTCCTGTGGGGAAGCCTGCTGCTCATGCTGCAGACTCCTGGGTGAGCAGAGCTGGGAACCACCACCTCCTCGCCCTGCTGCCACCTTCTGGGCCTCTCTGCAAGAATTCACAGCAGTCTGCTGCCCTTGCCAAGCTCAGTTCCAGCTGCCACCTCTCTGCTTTCGGGGACCCCAGGAAGCAGGCACACACTTGGGAAGTGCAGAAGGGACCTGAGCTCCTGCATTCCTTGGGTCCACAATGGCAGACAGGCTCCTGAGCCCCACTTCTTCCAATAAACAATCATTTAGGGAATTTGGGTGTTGGTCTCTCTGTAAACTACTTCCTGCTGTTTATTGAGCAACGTATCCTTGGGGGTATTCACAACGACATTTCAGGGGATTTTAGTTCATCTAACCACACGAGTCTGGAATGATTCCACAGGTTCTCATCCTTTGTGGAAACAAAAGTAGAACCTCTTTTCCAAAGCAACATATCCTTAGACCCATATTTTTAAAGTCAAGATACCTTTCTTAGCAGTTGCCAGAATCAAATGTCTTTCTCCAGGCAACCAAGCAAAAGATAACACAATAACAAACATCTGTACACATCCCATCTTTTCTCCTTTTAATCTGTCTGTCTATACTCTGTCTCTTTAAAAACTGTTTTCTTCCATTCTTTTAAAAACACATATAGACACATACCCATCTTCAATCCACCCTTACCATTCCCGAGGGCCATCTCTCAGGGTTCCCTGGTTCCCAATCTCACGGTACCTGAGCCTCAGGCAACTAAGCTGGAGACTTAAAAACACATGCACACACACAGGGACACGGGTCATCCTTCATACAAGAATGCCATCTTTATTGTGCTCAGGGGCAGCTTCTATAGGGCTCTGGCCACACCCCAGCTTCTATAGGGCTCTGGCCACACCTCAGCTTCTATAGGGCTCTGGCCACGTCCCAGCTCTCGGGATCTTTCAGTCACAGGCCCACCAGAACCCACTCTCCTGCCATCAGGGGCTCGTGGTCAGAGCAGCTGCAGGCACAGGTAAACAAGTTGTTTAGCTCAGTTCACTCCAGCAGGCAAAAGGTCTGAGGCAGGCAAAGAAAGTCAAGGGGCCAGGGGTCTGCAGCCCCCAACAGCAGTGTTGTGTAATCATGGCCACTACACACCACATTGAGGGCACAGGAAAGAAAGGAAAAATGAAAACATGGACATTTACACATGTACACATGACATGTCCAGAAAAGAACCAATTTATTCAAGTCAGCAGAATCCACAGTGCACTTCCTTCTCTCTCCCAGAAACACATTTCAGTGATAGATGACAATACTCTGATGAATCTGATTTAAAAAAAAAAAGATTTATTGTGTGTGCCTAATGTCTAAAGAAGTCATAAGAGGGTGCTGGCGAGATGGCTCAGAGAATAAGAGCACTGTCTGTTCTTCCAGAGGTTCTGAGTTCAATTCCCAGCAACCACATGGTAGCTCATAACCATCTGTAATGAGATCTGGTTCCCTCTTCTGGCCCACAGGGATACATGCAGGCAGAATATTGTATATATAATAAATAAATAAATCTTTTTTTAAAAAAAGTCAGAAGAGGGTGTCAGATCCCTTGGAACTAGCCTTACATACCGTTCTGAGCCACCAAATGTGGGAACCAAACGTGGGCCTGGGTCTTCTGCACAAGCAACCAATGCTCTTACATGCTGATGTCTCAGATTCTCGGATGAAGCTGAGTTTTAAGTGGAAGAAGATTCTGTGTGTGTGTGTGTGTGTGTGTGTGTGTGAGAGAGAGAGAGAGAGAGAGAGAGAGAGAGAGAGAGAGACTGAGATTTCAGATCTAGAGTTCAATGTAAGCTAGGCAAGTCTTGTACCCTCTGGTCTCATCACCAGCCTCTAAGGCTTTGTTTTGGTCCCTGTGGAAGCTGGAAGGTCTCCATCGGCGATGAGTAGGATAGAGGGCCATTCATGAAGGCAGGAGGAAGTCAGACCATGGCAGGAACTAGAAAAGGCCCTGGTTCCCCTCAGCTTCAGCAAAAAGGGTGAGGCAGGGCCTACTCCAAGTAGGTAACCCGGGGGGCTGCGAGGGTGCCACTGGGAGCCTGTGTGGGGCCTGCAGCTTTGACACCCTGCAAAGCCCCTGCAGACCCTGAGGTCACCTCCTGGGAGGGGAAGAAGAAACGCTAGGTTAGGAAGCCCCCTGGATGTTTCCCAAACTGAAAGCCACACAGAAACGAGTGCACACTCCAGTTTCACACGTAGGATCGACGAAACTGAACAGGAGCTATTAAAACACAAAACAACTATGTAGTAGAAGCAGGTGTCCTCCTCTCAGGAGGAGCTCACACTCAGAGAGGGACCAGGTCTTCCCTGCCTGGCCAGTGTGTACAAGACTTTGCATTTATCTTTAATCCTCACCACCCAGACAATCCCGGTTCTTCTAGTCCACTGAAGAATTGCGTGAGCTGTCCCTAAAGAGACAGATGGCTCAACGGTTAAGAGCATTGCCCGCTCTTCCAAAGGTCCCGAGTTCAAGTCCCAGCAACCACATGGTGGCTCACAACCATCTGTAATGAGGTCTGGTGCCCTCTTCTGGCCTGCAAGCATACACGCAGACAGAATATTGTATACATAATGAATAAATAAACATTTTTTTAAAAAGAGAGAGACGCCAATCACAACTACCTTGCGGTGTGTGCGGCACCTGAACCCGGTCATGAACCAGGGCTGCGGACCTGGTTGTGAACTGCTGCCCACAAACCCAGTCGGGGGCGAGAGGAAAATCAGATTTGGCAGAAGCAGGGTAGTTCTTGCTTCTTAGACATTAATCCCGAGAGGACAGGGAAAAGCTGCCCAGGACAAAGGCGTTTACGCGGCCCTTATTTATAACCGACCTGGGGAAGGGAAGCCAGTCAAGCCCCACCACGCGGCTGGCTCGTAAATCCAGGCACCACGCCGCAGCCGTAGCCGCAGCCCAGCGTGGCAGTTGCCTCCCTCCCAACCCGCCACTGTGCAGGCTCAGGTAGCTCCCGGGGTGGGTGGAGTGAACCAGGAACCTACCATCCAAATGACTGTGGAACTTTCGGTGACTTTGTTCATCTTCATCTTTGGCCCTCCAGCATCTCCTGGCAAGAGAAGATGAATCGGTGAAGATGTTTGAAAAGCCTCCTGGGGCATCATGGGTGATTCTTCCAAACCAGGAATTTGGACCGCAGCCCATAACAAGTAAACATGTAGGCAGGGGCGTTTTGGACCAGCCAGCAGCGGATTCCGCACCGCTGAGCTCTGGGGAGATCCTTCTAGGACCTCAGGCCTCCGGGAACATTCTTTCCTCTCCTCTAGAGTTTTTAAATCAGGGGTCTGAACTTCCTGGGAGTATGGTGGAGGCGAGTTCATTGATCTGGCCCTGGACAAATGGTGTGCTGACGGCATTTCTGCAGGCAGGGTTTGAGACTGCTTTTGCCTTCCTGCTGATGGCCTTGGGTAAGTTTAACACTCCAGGCCGTAGCTGTCAACCAGCTCAGTGTGGAGAGGGCTCTGGACTCACACGGACTTGAGGTCCAGATTGTGTCTGCACCCGCTTCAACTGCAGGAATGGGCTCAGAGCTGGGCAGAGCGGCATCCTCTCCTTCCACCTCATCTCACACTGGAGGCGCCTGGGTACCATCTCGCGACTCAGGGCCTTGACGTCAGGAGGGTGACCCCCATGAGGGTCTCACTGTGGCCTGCAGCCCTGCCCTGTGAAATGAGTGGCGGCTGCGGACGCAAAGGTTCAACTGGCAACCTGCTGTGCAGGGATGAGGGGGACTTGTGAGTGGGCTTCTGTCCCCTGTGCTGGTGGCTGTCACCACAACCTTCAACAGACCTGTCTGATAGAGGGGTCTCTTCAGGATGCCCAAGCGAGGGCCGTGTCCATGCAAGCCGACAGGGAAGAATGGGTGAACGGACCCATTCAGTGCGGTGGGGTGCAGCTGTCGTTACCGGGTGATTTTGCATTTCTTAACCTCAAGTTTCCCGAGGGAACCACAGGGAGGCGAGCGGCGCAGCCCACTCTGGCCTCTGAGAGCACTACCAAAGCCGGCCGTAAGCTGCGCGTGGCAGACACCCGGATGGACATCTGCTCTGACCTCTCCAGGGGAGCAGGGTGTTTGCAGGGAGTTCACACATGAGGCCTGAAGGCGGGTGTTCCTGGCAGATCAGCAAGAACACGTGGGCACCAACGAGGGCAGCTGGCACACTCAGGCAGGGCTGAAGCCTGGCCGCCAGGGGGCACCCCACACCTTCTCCACTCCCTCCAGGCTGGGCGCCTCCTGCCCTGCTGAGGGTCCAGAGCCCCCTCCCCATGAGACACGGAGCCCACTGCCTCATTGTGGGCTCACTGTCACCAAAAGCAGCTGCCACACGCCCGAAGTATCTGTGGCTGACTCCTAGTTGTCTTTCAGAATTCATTTCCCAGCTCCCCACAAAATCCTGGCTGTCCTCTGGGGTCCCCAACTCCTCTGCTGGATTTAGGCGCCTGGGGACAAGGGACAGCAAAGATCTTCAACACAAAGGCAAGTGCCACAGCCTAGGGAGGGCAGAGCAACAAGCCTGCAGCCTCCCCAGTAACCGACTGCTAAAGGGTCCTGCTGTAGAGTCGGAGAGACAGCAGGTCTGCCTTGCTTTTTCCAGCCCCTGTGCAAAACAGTCCCGGAAACAGCTACGCGTGGCACCATGGAGGTTCACAGCACACAGACAGCTACCAGGCCAGGGTGGGTGGACGACCCGCCGCCCCGCCCCTCTCTACAGCTTAGCCTGTGTACAAATGCCCATTTTCCAACCTAAGGGTCCAGGACCAGAGACATAAACAGACCCCTCCTCCTCCAATCGCCAATTTTCTCTTGGTTTTGTTTCGGAGGTTCCTGCTGGGACCTGCCAGCTGGGAGCACTCAGGAGGAGGAGGGGGAGGACCTGAGGGACACACCTGTTTTGGAGAAGACCGACAGAGGTCAGCATGTGTCTGGCGTTTCCAGCCAGCGGCCCTGTTCCAAGCCCTTGGCAGGTCAGCTTCTCGAGTCATTTGCAGGCCCCTTCACTCCCAAGTTTTTGAGAAAAATTCCTTTGAACTTCCTGTCCTACCCTCCTCTTGGTCCAGGGGAGAAGATGTCTGCTCTGAGCTGGTCCAGGTGGAACTTTTAGGACTGAGGTGGTACCCCTGCTAAGGTGACTGTCCCTGAGGCAGTTAAGAAAATTAAGGGCACTTCACTTCTGAGCTCGGCCAGGCTTCCTGGGGTCTTCAGAGCAGAGCGGACCACTTCCTGGAGGGACTAGATGGGACTCCCTGGGGCAGCTGCTGAGTCCACAGTCTTAGAGGGACAAGTCTGTCACCCCCAGGCGGGAAGCACCTGCTAGTCAACAGCCAAGCTGATTGGCCTGGGTCTCACATATCCTTATTTTGGCATGTGATCATAGGCAAGACCACCCCCTCCCTTCCCTGCTAGCAAACACACGCACGCGAGCGCGAGCATACACACACACACACACACACACACACACACACACACACAGGCTCCGATATAGGTGACAGCCACCTCACAGACCATCCAGAGAGCTCCAGAGGGGAACCTATTAGTTTTCCACCCAGGCACTGTTGTAGAAGCTGCTGTAGCCACGAGGTCCTTGTTCCCTCAGTGGCTCCTGGATCAACCAAGTTCTTCTTCCTCCTCGCTGGGCTTCAGGGAGCCACAGAGCCCATATTCATTTTCCCTAGGCTATGCCAGCAGCCTAAGGACGCCTAGAAAGAGCCCATGTAGAGTAGAGCTTCCAGAGGGAGGCATGAATTACGTGGCACACAGCCACTACCCTCTAAAGGCCTGAACTCGGGATGTAACTGATTCAGAAGCCTGGATCCCAGCTTTGCCAGGCATTGGCTGAGCTGCCCTGGGCAAGTCACTACCCATATCTGGGGTTCTGCCTTCAGGAAATGGAGCCTGGGTTTGGGATTCTGGGTTCACCTTGTGAAACACGGCTCACTGAACTGTTCCCACCTCAATGCTGCCCATGAAGGATGCAGGGTAGTTGCTGACAGGGGGGAACTATGATTCCCTACAGTCATTCTGCAAAGCCACAGAACCACACTCTCTCCCCTGGGCGGCTCTGAAGGGGCTCTAGGCATCTCTGGGTTAAAGTCACCAGGAGCGGGGACCATACAGCCATCAGCTGTGCCCTCTGGAGATGGGGCAGGCTTTTCTAAAGTGATGAGAGAGATTCCATGACCTGAGCATGGTAGGGCTGTGCCTGTCCATCAGTCCGCCTTTCTCTGTAACTGGGGGGAGGGAGCACTGCCCCCTGCCGCCCACGGTCTCAAGGTGATGGTGTCGCATTTCCAGCTTCCGCCTCATCCATCCAGGCTCCTCCCGTTCCAGAAGGAAAGGCGTCCAGGTCACACAGAGGCCAGGGCAGAACTGCGTGGGATCCAGACTGCCTGGGAAGCGTCACTGTCCCAACACAGGCCACTGGCCAGCCACACATCTGCAGAGACAGGATGGAACCATTAGGCTGGGAGGTCCCTCTGCAGGAGGCCGGTGGGAAGGAATGCTTCCCCTCCCGGGTTCCTTATCTCCCCGCTTGTTACTTTCCAGAGCTCCGAAGAGAATCAGAGAGGTTTACACCTGGGAAAGGGACCTGTCGCCACACCCTTCACAGCTCAGACCCCGCCTGAAGCCCACAGTCGCAGGGCGGGCTGTTTGTTGGCATGTGCGTGCGTTGTGCCAGGTGTTCAACATGTGTGCTCTCCTTTCAACTCTGAAAACACTCCGTGGCGTTGTTTCTGTTCTTATAAAGATGGGGAAACTGAGCCGCAGAGAGCTTAGGTGTCCTTTCTTTCTCTCTCTCTCTCCCTCCTCCTCCTCTTGAGCAGGGCCCCAGCGTGGAGAACAGGAGGAGTGGGGGAAGACACAGGCCTCACACATGTTCCTCCAGCATGGAGGGCCAGCTGGGACACACATTCCCCTGAGTACAAGGCTCCAGGAAGAAGCAGGGCACAAATAGCCTTGCCCCTCGGACTTCAAGGCCAGTAAGGACCCAAGAAGACATCCAGTCCCCAGAGCAATCCAGGGGCTCACCTGTGTGCAGAGAAAGCGCAAAGGAGGGAAGGCCTGGCCAGGTGCTGGAGCAAGGGCCGAGAGCTCCGCAGGAGCGTGAGGTGGAGAGGGGAATCGGTGTCAGAGCCAGGAACTGGCTGAGGCCTGGGACCAGAGCTCAGAGGGGCTGGGGACCTAGAGAGATTCAACCACACCAGCCAGGTGAGAGGGTCGGGGCATGCTCAAACAAGAAGGGCTCAGAAACCGTTTGGCCAGCACCAGGGAGCTGGGTTTTCAGCTAAGTCGGATTTGTAGGATGCTCCGTGCAAACCGCCCCTAGCAGGGGCGGGCGGTGCCAGACCACTGGGACTCTAAGAGTGGCCTAGGGAAGACAGTGGCTACGGAGGGGGGGCAGGGGAGGGAGAGGGAACAGAGCTAGACTAGGACTGCAGGGCAGGGGAGAGCTGGGAGCCTGACAGGAGTGTGCTATGCTTAGGGAGGCCCTCGCTGGTGGAGGTTCGGGTTCAGGGACCCCGGAACGCCCAGGCCGCTGAGAGTGAAGCTGGGCTTGTGGCCCAGGTCGGGGAACACCCGGGAAGACAGAAGGGCCGGGGAGGCAGGGGAGTCGCACAGAGGCTCAGCGAGTGAGTACGGAGCTGGGGTCAGCAGAGGGATGCCTCCGGGGCGAGCGCCCGCACCAGAGCACAGGGAGCGGGAGGTCTCCAGATCGCCTTGGGAGGCTCTGCGGCCGGGGGATGCCGGTCTCCGGGGGCAGAGGAGCGCGGGCCGAGCGCAGCCGGCTCTCATTAGCGCGGGCCAC